AAAATTTCAAATCACAAATTAAATGACCATATACCTGTCGCGGTCATCAATGAAGCTATACTATCCCAACAAAAATAAGAAGGTGGGTGGTTGCCGGGTTCTCTGGTGTGGTTTGCTCCTTCTTTAGTATAAAACATCTATTGTCCTTATCTTCCCTTCTTCTTTTTTATGTTTGTTACTCTCTTGTACACCTCTAATCTTCTGGCGCTCATATGACTTTATGCAGTTGCGAGTGCCGTAAAACCTCTACTAAAACTTTTTTTTTTAAAAAGAAGTTACATGTTCTACATAAAATAAGCTTCCTCTGCCGTGAATCGAACTCAAGTCTTTTGTGAGAAACCATAGAAGGTCTAATCGTGAATGCATGCACACATACACGGCGGATCCTTTGGGCTAGATACAGCAGTGTAGGAACAATGACCAAGGAAGCACTTGAAGTGCATACTTGTCTCCTGTACACGTCCTTGTAGCCCCGATAAGATACGGTTAAATCTCAATTTCCAGTAATGAAACTGCAATCGGAGGTATAATGTATACGTACAGACAGACAGACAGACAGACAGACAAACAGACAGACAGACAGACAGACAGACAGACAGACAGACAGACAGACAGACAGAGCGAAAAAGAGGGAGAGAGAGTGAGAGAGAGAGAGAGAGAGAGAGAGAGAGAGAGAGAGAGAGAATGAAAGTATCATGCATAAAAAGTATATTTCACACACGCACGCGCGCACACACACACACACACGCTCGCGCACACTCACACTCGCACACACACATGCACACACAGTCACACACATTTGCGAGTCATTTGCAATTTATATCATAATATGAAATTCACAAACTACAAATAAATATTAAATTCACGTACCTAATCTTTTTTTGTGGTCCCTTTTATAATAATCCATAGTATTCCAATCACATAGTAACAGTACTAACAGAGGTCCCAATCAGTCCCCTCTGTAGTTCTGAAGCAGTCACAGAGGTATAGTGGTGGTGATAATTCGGAATCACAACACCGCCAGAGTCGAACGCCACACACAATTAAGGCATGCACCGTCGCCGCGTAGATCTACCCGCATGGAGGAGCTTACTGCCCGCTTGACGGGCGTGAGAGGAGAGGAGAGGAGAGAGGTGGGGGAATAAGAGAAGAGAGGTGGGGAAATAAGAGAAGAGAGGTGGGGAATAAGAGAAGGGAAGAAAAGAGGGGTGGGAAAAGAAGAGAAGTTAGGTGGGAATAGAGGAGGGAAGGGAAGGGAGGTGAAGAGAAGAGAAGAGAGGTGGAAAAGAAGAGGAGAGAAGAGAAGAGTAGAGAAGTTGGAAAAGAAGAGAAGAGAGACGGAAGAGAAGGGAAGAGAGGTGAAAAGAAGAGAAAAGAAGAAAGGTTGGAAAAGAAAAGGAGATAAGAGAAGTGGCAAAGAAGAGAACAAAGGTGGAAAAGAAGAGGAGAAAGGTGGAAAAGTAGAGAACAAAGGTGGAAAAGTAGAGAACAAAGTTGGAAAAGTAGAGAACAAAGTTGGAAAAGAAGAGAACAAAGGTGGAAAAGAAGAGAACAAAGGTGGAAAAGAAGAGAACAAAGGTGGAAAAGAAGAGAAAAGTAGAGAAGAGAGGTGGAAAAGAATGGAAAAGAAGAGAGGTGGAAACAGAAGAAAGAGAAAAGAGGAGGGATAGAATAGAAAAGAAGCGAGGTGGAAACAGAAGAGAAGAGAAGTGGAAAAGAAGACAAAAGAGGTGAGGTTGTTGGGGACCATGTCGTTGTGGGACTGTTGAGGGTTAAATCGTAATTGTCTGCCAGAAACCACGACACCGGTACCACTCTACTCTTCGTGAGTCTGTTTGTTTGTTTGTTTGTTTGTTTGTTTGTTTGTTTGTTTGTTTGTTTGCTGTTTGTTTTTTAAGGGGGTTTAGGTGGGTTTGTTTTTTTCCCCAAACATTTGAAATCCAGTCTTTTGTTCTTTTATGTCTGTCTCCCTTATACCCCTCCCCCCACCCAGCCCTCTTTCACCTTTTATCCGTGAGTCTATGTATGTGTATTTGTATTTGTGTGTGTGTGTGTGTG